AATTCTGTACTTCGTTAAAGTTTTAAAAGAAGTGTATGTTGAGCAGAGCTTATCGATATATAGTCTAGTTTTAATTATCTTTGACCGGAATTATAAATTTCTTGTCATAATGTTATCAATGAAATTATAAATACATTGTGTAAATGTTCATGTTTGGGCTGTCACAATAATGTGAAACTACTTACATTTTTTCTTCGCCTTTGCCTTCGTAAACATGACATATGCAAAAATTACGAAATCGTTTTATTTTAATTAATCGATTATATTTCAGATTATAACTTACTTCTTTATATTAATTAATTGGATGCTCTATTTCTATTACACGAGAAAGTAGATACTTTTAATAATATTTTAACGAGGAATGAGATATTTACGTATTCAAGTTTAATAAAAACTAGATAAATTGAATAAAGGACTTTTAATTATAAAATTGTGAATTCCCTAATTTTACCTTAACGTACAATGTACTTTGTGGTTTCATGTAGCTTAAATCCGGATAATTAAACTTAAAAATTGATTCAAATGACCTGAATTATCGATTTCGGGCAATCCAATTTGAAAAGGTAATGCGATTTTGCTCCCAAATTTAAAATTGGGTCAATGGGACATCATAATTATTGTCAAAGATCAAAGATCATATCGCAACTTGGGGCACAACATTTCATCATCACATTCGGAACTAATTTTGCCACCTTGCCACCTTCGTTTATTTGAAAGCAGGAAAAATTACGTGAAGTGTTAAATTTGGTTATTTTAAAGGATTTAGTTTTCACATAAAAGCGAATATTCAAATTGTGTGACTGTTCTAATTTGTTATTATTAATATGGAAAGAATTATACAACATTCGATTACTCAGCTTTGCGCAAGATAAAACTTATTATTGTAACATTGAAAGTTTGGTCTTGTATTAATTTCTGATAACCCTTGAAGTTACTTTCAATTATACTATGCCATAAAATGTCAATTTCGAAAATGATGAATCCTGTATTTTTAAATAAAAAATGCAAAAACAATAAAGAAAAAAATTTTATTTAGAGAGTGTGCACAAAAAGATTTATTACTAGTTCTTGAAGCGTATATGATATTTTTACGATATCTTACATGAAAGAAACAATAATTTAGAATATTATTGTAAAATCCGGAGCGAAGATATTAGTGAGAATCTAAAGTTATTAAATTATAAAAATGTGGACCAGATATAGTTTTGTTAATCAATGTCCCCAATTTAGCACGTGATATACTTCCGGATAAATAATAACTGCTAAAATTATTACATAATATAAAATATAAGATTCTTAATTATTTCTAACTTTAATTTAAAGTTTATTTTTTGATATATGGGAGGGTTTCTAGGAAAATCAGGTTCCGAGAAATTTTTCACTTAAATTAAGAGCTTAATACATTTTAATCTAATAACATCAAAAACTAAAATGCAATAAAAATCTCAATTTTGTTAAAAAATTCCCGGAACCTGATTTTCCTAGCAATCAACCCATATTTTATTTAATTATACTAATTATACTGTATATCAATTGATTTAAAAAAATATTTAGTATATTATATATAAATATTAAAGTATTGCAAGTATTGCAATAATATTTCTGCTAACTTAACTTCAATATACTTACCAGGATATCCTTTAGTATTTATCAAATAATTTTTAACTTGTTAGTTTGTGATTGTATCATAATTTCCATTAAAGGTTAGGATTGAAGTGTTGGATTTACTACAAAAAACATTAATATGTATATTTTTATTTCCAATATATCTAATTTTTTTTTAAAAAAAATCTCGCCTGCAACACTACTCGCACATAATTTTTAAGAGGTTCTATTAAATCACTAAGATTTATTCTATATGCTTCTAATCGTAGTAACAACTTTATTTCCTACACGTTTCAATTCTAATTTTTGAATACTTTTTGGCGCACCATTACTATTTATTTAATTTTTTTTTAAAAAAGATTAAATTAAATTTAAAACATATTTTTTGTTGTTATAGTGTTATAAAAAATATTACCTCAATTCAGGATCATGATCAGGAGATATGACATAATGACAGGGTTCCATTTTTAATTATATTTGTTGTACTAAATCATCCCTGATTTAGTTACTAAAGCATCTCGAATTTGTTCGTAGGGAATAACAAATCTGAAAGGAAATAAATATTTTTGTCAAGCTAACTCCAACAAAAGTAAAAATTCCGGGTTTTTATAGAGTTACAACCCTTCGATTTTGTTTATCGGAAAGATTATGAATGATCGTTTTAATTTCTTTATATTCACATGTAGTATCTTCAACGATACTTATAAAATGGAGTTGTGTTAGATTGGTTATTAAAATTATAATGTATCTAATTTATGAAATTTAGCTTACTTTTGCCCTTGAGCTTTAAATATGTCTAAAATGGCACCTTTCGGCTTAAACACTCCTTAACCTGAATTTGCATAGATCCAAAACTGAAGTTAACGTTTTTGTTTCAACTTCATTTATTTCAGTTTCGGTAGTTTGTGAGGTCGAGATGCATCTAAACTAGGATTGTAACCAACAAGATTAAAATTACAAATTGCCATAATTCGTAGTAGTTCACAAGATTTCTTACTTTTTGATTAGATTCTTTTATTTTGATAACTCCCTTTTTTTCCATAGCTTTCAAGAATTTTGATACCTATTAGGAAAAAATTTAATTAAAAGATTGAAATTGAAAAAGGATCAACACTTAAGTAACAATTGTACCTTTTTATAGCTTGACTTTTTAATGTCAACTTCATTTTCAGTACCAACAGGACGACATGGCAACATATAGAGTAAAATTGTGAAGTTGCCATCGGCAATGGAGTGATAGGTGTTAATTTTCCAATAACGCTTGATAAAATGAAGCTACTAGTAAGCTATCCACCTCTACATTAATTCACAAAGAATTTAATTAAAAGATAATTCTTTTTGTAAACTTTCATCATTTTCATCCATCTTCAGATATTTCAGCAACTTTCAATACTGGTGTATCAGCCTCAACAGCCTCTTGACATAATTAAGCATCAGATAGTTCAAGTGGGTTAGATCGATCACCCATACTCCATAAATCATCAACAAATACATGAAATATATTCACCGCACCGCAACTCACTTGCGAGTTAAGTAATTTTTTGTTGATATATTTATTGCCCCTACAGCGGTATTTTAAAACGAGTCAAAACAATTAAAAAGTTTAAATATTTATTAATAAAAGAAAATATTATTACAATTAAGTGCTTACTTTAAATCTCTGATTACAATAGATACCAGTTCACCTTCATTTGCTTCAGGCAAATCTTCAGCAAATACCAGGAATCATTAAATTAGTTCATCTGCCAGTTTAGAAATTACAGTGGATGAAAGTTGGTATTTTTGGTAACATATCCGAAATTTCCGCAAGGTATAAACTACAATGGAAAAGAACATTCCCGATTCATTAATAACGTTTTCGGTTTATCTTAAAATCTAGTTGAAAATATGATTACTACATGGAACCAAATGTCCTTTTTATCTTTATCTATCCTAAACCAAATAGGTTGCTTGTCGTTAGTAATGTAAATACATAATGTGTACCCGCATTTAAAACAAATTTAATTAATTGAATATGCTCTGATACTAAAAATAAATTTATTGGAGATTCTGTTGTATCTGTTGTGGATTGGATAAGGTATGAAGTGATGATTCTAATGATGGAAACTTTTTTAATATTTCTTTAAATCTTCTACGATCCGAACTTCGTAATAAGGAAATGTTGTTTAATGTTTAATGAAGGTTTTTTGAACATGCTTAAGATAGAAATTTTTTTATGTGAAGTGAATTCAAATTATTATTTTATTATTGAAATTAAAAAAAAAAAAAATTTTTTTGATCGGGAAAAAATGATTCGTCATTTTTATTCAGTTGGTACAAGGAATGGCGTAGTAACAATTCCTTTTATTTTTATCTTATTTTTCAATGACATACAAAATAATGCATCTGTAAATAAATGTTTTTAGTTTAGATGGCGTAATTATTGACGTTAAACCTTCGGGATAAGGATCTGAAATAAATACGTCATATCGTTTCGATATCACATGATTTTCTGAATAAAAAATGTACGTGTAAACAGTTTTGGTTTATTTATTTCTCTCTTGAAATTTGATTAAATCAGTCTTCTTCGCGTTCATTACATAAATAACTATATTTTACATAATACCGTTTTTCGAGATTTTTATTCGAATTTGCATAAAGAAAAACATACGTATTCTGTGACTGCAAGTTTTCCAAATCGACCTGTCAACCAACGCGCCTTTCATGTTATTCTTTTTTAGAAAGTCACTCCAAACATTAATGGTAAAATCTGTGGTATAAGATCAATTATCAGTCTGCAGTTATTCAGAGTTTCATCCTTTTGAATTATCTCCATAACGATAAAGAGATCTTAAAACAAGGCTGTTTTTTCCTTGTAAATATAGCGAATATACTTTTATTAAAGGACATAAAAAAAAAAATATATACAATTATATGAAGTGACTGTTATGCATGATGAAACTAAACATTAATCAGTCAGGAATATCTAAGAGTTCAATTGATATTCAGAGTGTATTGCTTGGCACGATTTTCATTTCACATTTTTTTTTAATACGATCTTCAGTAGAATGTCTCTGATCATGAAGTTTTTAATTTAATTTGTTGGTACCACTTACAAAAAACCGTAAGTTGATCGATTTGTGGAGAAATTCTTTTATCTTTAAATAAAGCCTTTCTAAAAGTTCATTTTAATTGTAAATTTGTATATTAGATCATGTACTGTACCAAATTGATACGCATAAAATTAGTATTGCTATTTTTAGATGTTAATATATATATATGATGGTACGTGAGATTGCTGCGTCGACTGAAGTCCCGTCTCAATTAAAAATTTTCTGTTTTATTTCTAGAGAATTTTTTTTTTTAAAAAAAAAAAATAAAACGACAACTTTAAACGAAAATTCCGTGCTGAGTTATTATAAAAACACATAAAACACTTGATTATCTTTTCCATTGTCTGAAAAAACATGTATATGCAGGAACAATTCAAAGCATTTTTTTAGGACAGAATATATTACGCCAAATTCACATCATCGTTCGTGAAATAACTGACGATTCAAAAAATAATTAACATAAAAAATTTGACTGGACAATAATTATAAGTTATTGTGCTTTGCAACGATTAATATCAAAATTATTAATGACGATCAGTTAGATTTAGCCACGTTAGTGGCTAAATCTGACCGATCATCATTACGAATTGGACAATAATTTTGACTATTTATCAACGCAAGCACAATAACGATATTATCGTGAGATTTTATGATGTTGACTTTAAAATGATGAAGAGTAAGTTCATCATTCTCATGGCGATAGGACGCGATCCTACTAGATATCTAGCATAAAATTTGAAATCGAGTTGTCGTATATTAGATTCTTTTAAAAAAATGGAAGACCCACTTTTTATGAACCACGAAAAAAAAGTACCTTTTTGTGTTATAAAATTAATACTACACGAAGTTGTTAATATGTTTATAGAAGACGAATTGCTTTATTTAATGCCTCATCAAGTAACAATTATATGCTAAAATACTATATTTCAAGATGTAACAACTTATATAGGTAATGCATCTTCGATTATTTTGATTATTCTTATTATCCTTAATTTGTTCGATGAAAGTACAACCAACCAATTAATATTGCAACAATAAAATATCCCCCTTTGTCAACAACTTAGATACTAAATGAGAATTAAAAAAACTAAATTTAAAATTATAGCTATAAATCTTTAATTAAAAATTAAAAAAAATTAAAAACTTTAATTAAACAAAAATTCGAAATTAAAAAAAAAATAAAATAAAATAAATTTGCAGAAGGATAATTGTAGATATTCTATTTCACATAATTGAATTGATATCGCGAAAAATAAAAAGAATAAATTATCTAAACACTTGCTAGAAAAATAATTTTTTGAGATATTTATTAATTAGCCCCATTTTATCTTTAGCTCCTAAAATATTATACTTTTACAGTTAGAAAGATATTCCATAATTATTTATTATATTGAAAATAGAGACAAGTTACTTGAAATTAATATGTATAATAATAAGTATAATTTATTGTATTATTTATTT